AGGTCCTGTTACCATCTGGCGGTCAGCCTGAGAGAGTTGCGCCATTTTTCTGACACTCATTCAAATTTTGTAGATCTGACGCAACTTAGTGAACACTGCGCATATTATTTCCCACGATATCGATTAAAACGACTGCTCTTCTAGGACGTGAAATATTTCCATTAACCGTCGTTTATCCCCTAATTCTTCTTGAAGACTAGATTTCTTTATTCTGTTTCCCGTGCAATATCTAACTCACCATGAATTCTCTAGCTACATAAATGTTTGTAATAGTGTTTAAAAACTTATCATATTCAAGTATTTTACGACATTCTACTTGTCATATGTGGTGGGTCCATCACAAAATTCACGTTATCTACTGCCTGCAGTAATCGGATAAGCCGCACTGAGTTATGCAAGGGTTACATCTGAAGATTAGTCAACGAATGCGATAGAATGACAAAGATTACCCAAACCTCAGATTGTTGAATTACACCGATTTCTATAGATGGAATTGATTAACAATAATTCCAAAGCGGACCCTGTATAAATAAAGTAGTAGCAGTATGCCTTTCCAGAGTTCACGCATACTCCAAACAGTTGATCCACAGGCTAACAAAGCGGTTAAGTGTGGCAAAACGGTTAACGAGGTTAACTAACAGTTAACTTCTAGGTTAAAACGGAGGAGGTTAACAGTTAACTTCTAGGTTAAAACGGAAGGACATAGCATGGAAAGGAAACACTAAAATATTTCATGTAGCAGGAAGAGATTGAAGGAATTCATATATCCAACGAATGGCTATTGCATCTTCTCATTCGTTCGTTCCATGAACGAGAAACAATCCTTTTCAGGTATATCATGCATCTTATCGACCAGATGGATACAAAACACAATCTAATTTAGTGGCACGATAATTTCCGTCGATTTCACTCGATATTTCTGCTTGCATTGGTTCAATGACATTCTGCTGCTACAATCGTCAGAAATGTTAGACAAAGATCACTATCCCAATACCAGTCGAGATACTCTCAGGATCCGATATGTCGAACATGCGTTGCTCTAGATATAATTGCTGGACTACCGGTTCATCGTACAGACATTTCAGAATTAAATCAGACTGACCAGAGAGAAGTGCCCACAGACTATCTGGACACAACTGCGGCAAACTTTTAAAGTAAGACACTTGGCCTGAACAATCTGTTTCATTCCCATTTAGTCTTTTGTTCTTGTACTTCCTGTGAATTTTTTATTGCTTTTTCGACCGTTTGATAAGTGATAACCTATTCTACCAGCACTTCGAAGCTCGTTTTCTATCTTCTCCATTCTCCAATTCTAGTCTGACCAGATCGGATCATGTATCCAATAAGTAGTATGAGGGTGGGATGTTTGTCACATACTAACTGAAATGAACATTTCTTTCATTGTCCTTCTAATTGGTTGGTTTTGTCGATCACAGATGGACAAAAACCACACCGTGTGCACCATGAGACAATATCTCGAGAAACAAAAGTTGTGTTGGACAAAAACTTAGGCATCATGTCGGGCTAGAAACTTTTTATATGAATCGGTGGAAGTAGAAACAGTCATGTAGGAGACAAGATGATAGTCGTTAAAGAAAGTGAGAGGCTACTCCGTGTTTCACTTGTTTTCCATACATCTCTGTAAACACTTTCTCGTGTGTCGTCTAAAGTTTCATGGAAATCTATTATCGTAGTCTGGTAACCAGCTCTGCTGATCTAGTGGAGTGGTTTTCAGCATAAATTGGGAGAAAAATCTATCTTTGCAATCAGCTGATTTTCAGTCGACGTTTTCCGATGAGGATGTATTCAGCCTCTATTAACATCCATGAATAGCTCTCACAAATTCCATCTGTTTTCCACACGTAACGATGCTATCATGCTTTCCGTACACGTTGCAGCTTAATGACATTACACGTACATTTTACATCCAGTGTATCACACACATACAAACCAAAGCGGCTAACCTTCAGACTCTGAATCATATCCACTAAGTTAGTCGGACAGGTGGTAGGCGCCATCGTCGTTGCTTTTTTTCAGCCAGTGAACAGATGCTCAGCAAAGTAGGGCAAAAACGGCACGCATCTACCATCTGAATTTTAGTGTAGCACTGTCAACCAATATCCTAACCACTATCACTACAAGAAATAGACAAAAGTAGCTTAAAATCAGATTTGAAGTAGGCCTTGCCTCTTTTATTGTGAAATCGCTACTATCATGCCGCTGTCCAAGAACTTCTTCCGAACGCTCGTCGCACCTAAGTTACCTGTCTTCGAGAAATACACCCATTTGCAAATCAATTTGGTTTTCACGGGAGACTCATTTGAATCCCTCGTTTATGATGTCCTCCAGCTGAATGTGCTGCACATAGGCCGCCTCATGATTCAGTTGGCACGATGTTCGAGATATCGCAGTATATTCTCATAGAGGAAACTACACACAAGGTTGCTGACTCTTCGACAGCCACGACCGGTTTAGCCCTTCTTGGGGCTCATCAGGTAGGCGCAGTCCCCGAGTTTCCGTCAACCTTATG